ACGCTGATCGACAGTTATGTCGACGTCGACTGCGAACAGCAAGTTAAAAACCGCATTTGTAGCTATACCAACGATGCCGTACGAAAAATAAAATGTAACAAATTGTTTCGCAAATTGCCTTGTGCATACTGGTCATACAGGTTTTCGCGAGGTTAAACAGTGGGTTTCGTGAACATACAGCATAATATACAGAAGAAATTAGAAGTAACAACTTCGAAATCAAGTATACTCTTGACCATGCTCAAGTTTTCAAGAAACAGGATGTGGACGCGTGGTGTAAATGGTGTTAAAAAATCAATTGAAAAACTGAAGTGTACACTTATTTGACCAAGAAACAGGATGTGACGTCATAAATATTTCAGGGGTGATCATTAACTTTAATTTAAAGTGCGTTAGATAAGTTGGCAATAAAAAATAAAAAATTTAAATCTTAGAAAATATTTCGGTTTCACGTACTTTATTGGCCGCTAGATGTCTCATGTTTAATTCAATTCTGATAGATAGATATTTCTCCGTACATTTGACGACCTATATAGGAATAAAAGGAGCCGTCTGCAAGCTGTCGACCAATGTAGTTTATGGAAGGAGGGAGGGAAGGCACGCCACGCCTTTTAATCCTCCAACCACAATTCACCATTATTTCGTCCGCGTCCGGGATTGTTTACATAATTATTTTTTAAAGTACTTCACATTTATTGTATCAGAATTATGAGTCAGAGTGGCCGAATTTAAAGAATTTAAGCCGCGGCTTAAATTTAAGCCGCAGCTCAAATATGATTGGTTCTGCTTAAAATTGTATTAAATTTTTAAAGATTATAGCGGGCGCTTAATTGAGTTGGGGGATTTAAGACACGGCTTAAGTTTATTAAATTCGGACACTGCAGGTCATATGCTGTTTATAATGGTTTAACCTGTTTTTTTTTCTTAAAGAGGAACATCTTGTTAAGATACAGCACGTACATAAAACTGATAATAAAAGTTTCCCTCGCACTTAAACCAATTGCTATGTTTCCACCAAAAAAATGTAAATTTTTTTGCTGTAGGATAAACTAAGGATGGGGCCCGGATGACTACAAGAGGACTATATACTCCCCCNATGTTAAGGATACTATAGATCGACTACCATGCTTAAATAATCAAATTAGTCTCGTTTTAAGTAGAAATTGACAATTATAAATGGAAGATCCTTCCCGGAAGACTGTTTGGGGGAGGTTCGGAAGCCCACTGGGGACGCAAACTGCCGCTAATAGGTAAAATGAGGTTCGGAAGCTACGCGGGGGAGGTTCCCTCCCTCCTCTGAATTGCTACTGAATCCGGCTATTATTAGAATTTATATCGAAACATGATATGTCCATGGCTACATTTTATGAATAATTTCTAAAACTTGGAAAGGGCCTGATGGAGAGTGATTATAGTCATAAAACATTTTCGGAAGGGGGGGGGGGCACATTTCAATTTCTGGTTGAGAAACATATAATTTTACATTTTAAGGTCCTTCATTTTAATTTAAGGCATCCAAAACACCCAAAATGACATTCAAATTTCTAACTATATCAATTTTTTGTATGCTTTTAGTGATAAGAATAGGTTTATAGAGCGGTATTGGCCGGTGAATAAACTCTCTTGTAAGTTCAGTGCTGAGTTGTATAAAGCAAGAGAGCATTACTCTTCTGACATGGCTGTAATAAAAAGAAAAGGATAAGAGGTTTTACTTAATACTCATTTCTTCAATTCATTATTCATTCTTAACCATGCACACTAAATCTTCTTTCACGTCTTTCCTTTATTTTACCTTCACCTCCTTTCCTTCCATTCACTTTCTTTCCTCTCACAACCAACTCCCTTCATCTTTTACCCACCTCCCTTCATTTCCTATCCACTCATCTCCTAACCTCCTCCCTTCATCTTCTATCTTCTACCTTCATCTCCTATCTCCTCCCTTCATCTTCTACCCACCTCCCTTCATCTCTTATCCACCTTCTTTCATCTCCTATCCTCCTCCCTTTATCACCTATCTCCTCCCTTTATGTCCTATCCTCCTCCCTTCATCTCCTATCCCTCTCCCTTAATCTCCTATCCTCCTCCCTTCACCTTCTATCCACCTCCCTTCATCTCCTATCCAAATCCCTTCATCTTCTATCATTATCCCTTCATCTCCTATCTCCTCCCTTCATCTCCTATCTACCTACCTTCATCTCCTATCCTCCTCCCTTCATCTCCAATCCACCTCCCTTCATCTTCTATCCCCGTCCCTTCATCTCCTATCCTCCTCCCTTCATCTCCTATCCTCCTCCCTTTATCTCCTATCCACCTCCCTTCATCTCCTATCCACCTCCCTTCATCTCCTATCCACCTCCCTTCATCTCCTATCCCCCTTCTTTCATCTCCTATCCCCCTTCCTTCATCTCCTATTATCCTCCCTTCCTACTCTAGCATCCTCCCTTCAACGCCTATTCTCTTCATGTTTAAGATTTATTACCCCCAGTGAAAACTATGAAATTGCTGAAATGCAGAAACAGTGCATTTTAATAAAACGTCTAATATTGCCCAAGGAGAATGAATTTTGAACTGCAAAGAAATAACGACCCAAAACTCCCAAGTATGACGATTTGAAGCTTGATTTTTAGTTTCTACATTCAATTAAATATTTTGATGGTTTTCGAAATGATTAAGCGCAGAAACAAGCCAGTTTTGGCCTTCAAGGAACCCTAAATGCAAAAAAACGAACCGAACAAATTCCGTACAATAGTCTCTGAAGTCTCATCTTTTGATGGTAACCCTGTATGTAATTTTTTACCCACACATTCTCACATTTCGTGGATGTTTTATATCTGTTTGCATTTATTTTCAAAAATCAATTCAACAATGAAGATTAGAATGTAATTCATTAAATGTAAATGTATTATCAAAATTTTACAAAGCAAGGATAAAGAACAGAAAATTAGTTGAGCTAATTAAAGGCGTCTTTATTATCATCTCTTCCTTGGTTCTGCTTTATATAATCTCAATCTCAATCTTAATGAAATAATGGAGGATTCCTGAAAGTTACGCAAACAGTCCCTTTAAGTCTCTAAGGTTTTATAATAATCTTAAAGGAGTTGAGTCTTTGCCACAAACTCCGATTTTCTAAACCCTGTATCTTTTCAACCTAATGTCGTAGACCTTAGATATTTCAAACTATGAATTCTGGTAGATCAAGTAATCTAATTTTGAAAAATTAAAGGCTAAAATCATCTAGTTGCAAAGATATTAGGATTTGAAAATTTGACTTTGGGGCAAAGACTCAATTACTTACAGAAATACAATCGTTAATTTATTCTAAATCTTGGAGAAATAGATGAGGGTTGAAGCTTATACTAGACATTAGGTCTGAATAAACATTAGTTTCGTTTCCTCAAGGTAGGTTTAGAATGAAAGAAATTCAATCCAGGCAGATCTAGTCATTTTTCTCAAAATCTGAAACCTTGAAATTTATTTTCTTTTATAAGTTTTAATCAATCTTATAAGACAAGAGTTTAAACAATGTCTAATATTGAGGGGGAAAGAAGGGTAGACCGTAGATTAGAGAAAGAAGGGGTAGACCGTAGACTAGAGAAAGAAGGGGTAGACCGTAGACTAGAGAAAGAAGGGGTAGACCGTAGACTAGAGAAAGAAGGGCTAGACCGTAGACTAGAGAAAGTTCCAATTTAGTTGGAAAGTTTTTATGTATGTTTAAAAATGTATCATAATATTGTGTATGAATCTATTTTTATTGATGTTTAGATGAAAGTATGATGCCGTTGTGAATTGTTTATGGAGGGGAGGAAGCCCCAACAATTTCTAGTCCAAGCCACAATCTCCTCATTTTCTCGTCCGAGCATAATAATAATAATATTTCGCGCATTGTTCTTAGCACATTTTTTGGCTAATAACCTTATATGCAATAAATATTTGAAATTTTGCAAATTTGCAATTTTTTTCAAATGTTTTAGGTTTATATCACAACAAGGAAATAAAAGGGGTGGGGCCCAGACTTTTGAGGGTAAACCAGACGTCAGCCTGAATAGGGTTAAGGTTGATTAAAAGATTCCAAAATAACATGAATGTACTTTGATTTCACGCGTAAACTTAATTTAAAGAATTTAACAATCGTTTTTGTGAACGAACAAAATATTTCGTGATTGATGGTGTCGTTCACGAAAAAAACGATTGACGAACGACTTTAATAACAGATGGCAGCGTATAATTTGTACTCTCTCAGTACAGCTGTATTCTTACGTCACAAGTGTCAACAATTTTAATTGTCCAACAAAATTATTTATAATAGTGATAATAAAGTGCTATCTTACAGTGATATAAGTGCTATCTTACAGTGAT